ACCGTTTATTATATTCCTTCTATTATCAATCAGAATCACTTTATGTTTTATCTACCTTCATTTCCAAACTGAAAAAAATAAGCCTTGGAACCTGGACGGCAGTAACTTACTAGCTTATGAGTACGAAACAGAATCACACTATGCACTTTTAGCACTAAATTAATGAGAGTCGAATCCCACTATTTAGTCAGAAAACAATAACTCAAGAGTTGGCGATGGATGTGGATGACTAGGTGACTTTACTCTAATCCTGGAGTTCCTAACCAGGTATGTTGGCACCCACTAGGGGTGCGAAATGAGGGTCCAGGGGGTGCGCGGAAGAGGAAATATCTAATGCACACTTTTTAGGGGAGGGGTGCGAGGGCCACAAAAGGTTGGGAACCATTGAAATCTAATCTATCAAAAATTAGGGATGGTTGTGAGAAAATAGCCCTTTGTATAGCTTTTCGCGAATCAGACAAACCCTTGAAATCAGTAAACTTCAGTTTTTGTAAAATTTATAAATAAAACTAATCATTCAGCGTTACAGACAAGATGCCCAAAAAACATCTTCATTACTTCAATAAAATATAATTAACTGATCTTCTACCTAGCTTTGATGAAACGAGTTGACAAAGTCGCAGAAATAAGCCTGTCGTTATACTTGTGTATACCTTTAAGTTCATGCAAAGTTTTTTTTGTTTGGTTTGAATTTCGGGCAGAGCTAGTCGAGGGCTATCTACGCTAGCCGTCTCTAATTTAGCAGTGATAGACTAGAGGAAGGCAGCTATGTCAACATTACCCACCACCAACTGTTGAGCTACTCTGTTACCAACGAATGGTGGAAATGACCGTCACATTATAACGCCCCAACGGTTGAAAGGGCGAACATGTTCGGTGAACCTACGACCCATAGATTGGGAGTCGAGCGCCCTAAATACCAGGCCATGACAAGCCTTGTAAAGACTGTAAAACGTAGTTAAAAAATCTACGATTCTAAAACACTCTAAAAGGGAACTCAGTGAGCGCATACGAAGATAAGTGTATTAATAATGTTGAAAGTATACACGTCGTGAATTGCTGGGGTTTTAAAGAATAGAAACAATGCAAGATGTGGGAAGAGTGGCAAATCGATATGTACAATAATCGCAATATTTAATCATGTGCGACCCGCTGTTCTTGTAACTCTTCAAGGGAATATTAAACTTAATGTGTAAAATGCAGTAGTGTCAGAGTATTAAAGTTTGAAGAATGGTTATGGTTTCTTCCAACATAGAAAGAAACGGAAATATTTAGGTTCTAATACAGAGCACTTACGTTTCGTTGCATGCTCCATCCGTATGTTTACTTTCGTTGCAACACGTGCAATAAATACTGAAGTAAAAGAAGGATGTATATCCAATTCTCAATTTGTAAATGTTATTATTAGTTTTACCTCTGTGGGATCGTTGCGTAGTAAGCTTGGTTTTTTTTGGTCATTTGTTTTAGAGCAAAGACACATTGGGCTACCTGATACGTCCATCGCGGAGAATCGAACCCCGGATTTTAGCGTTGTAAGTCCGTAGACTTACCGCTCTTCCATCGGGGACCCATAATAAGCTAAATAATGTACTTATTCGGTTATTAAATGCCAGCAAATCAAGTTTTAAACACTTGTTGTTTTTTTATTTATCCAATGAAAAAAGTAACCATGATTAAATGGACGTTAGAAAGCTCATTTTAAAGTAGATTTCATGGTTCTCTTTCATGGCGACTAAAACACTATTATTTGTGTCAATCACCATACATTTTACACCTTCCTACGTTAAACTATTAATTATGAATTCGGTGGGATTTGCCGGAATAATTAGCTGGAGTTCAATATTTTGATACGCGTCACATTTGTACAAAATTAACGAGGAATGTTATTATAACGAACAGGATTACAGATCACAAAAGTCATAGCTCAGAGAGAACTATGAATATGGGAGTTACACCCTGACAGACATATTATTAAAATCCAAAAAAGGGCACCATAAGTATGAATACCCAAGTAGTTTTTCGTTTTATCAAATACAAGCAACAACAACAACAAATAAGAAAATGAAAGTTTTACATATCATTGTATATGACTTGACTGAAACTATATACGAGATAGTTTTTCTTTAAACACGTTACTGTTAGATTTATTCAAATCTAAACAAGTTTGAATTTTCTAGTCGTAAAACGTTCTGAGCGACACAACTCAACAGAAATATTATTTTGATAATAGCTAAATGTCTTTATAATACTTTGATGTCTATTAGCAAGTACAAATAACCGTAAAAATAGAAAGAAATTCAGTTGTGAATTTCTGTCAAACACTTATTTTTCATGTTATGTTATCTACAAGATAATTATCTGATGTGCTACCGAAAGTCGTGTAGTTTATTAGGGTACTATTCTGTGTAGTGTTGGAATTTGTAATTCCTTGTATCCTAAATTCGGCAAGCATTTCATAATTAGAAGTTTGTTTTCATTAGCTACTCACAAGGTCAGACAAGGTATAAATGCGTGATAAGTGTGGCGGTCAAATCCGTCTATTCGGTCAGACAAGGTTTAAATGCGTGATAAGTGTGGCGGTCAAATCCGTCTATTCGGTCAGACAAGGTTTAAATGCGTGATAAGTGTGGCGGTCAAATACCACTATTCGGTCAGACAAGAGTAGCTTAAGAGTTTGCCGTGAGTGTTATGTGGTGTTGACTACCGAAGACTATCACAGATAGCCGTTGTGTAATTTGTTTGCGATTATCCAAACAAACAGACTTCATCAGCGACTGTCGCTCTCATTGAGAAGATCGAGTACATATTAAGGTCAGCTGAATTGGCACCATAGGCACCAAATGTGAAATACGATCGGGATTTGAACCGTGAATTCCCGAATTCACATTCCCAGCGCCCTAATCGAACATTAAAAAACTCATGTTTAACCCCGTATTATTTTCTGGGGATTTTAAAACATTTGATTGTCAATGTATATCCGTCACCGTATAGATAGAACCCTTACAGGGGTCTTGTTCTTTCTTGTAATATCGTTGTTTTCTGACATTTTGTTTTTCTGTTGTTCATTTGCTCGTGCCGCATTCCGGTGACTTGGTTTTATTATCATTGTGAAAACAGTTTAAGTCACTCTTTAATGCAAACTGACCGATAAAAAAGTATGAAAAACACATATTTTGAAAGAAGGGGAATACTGTGTTGAAAGAATATTTTTTTCACTGACCGCAAGAGAAATAGAATGAGCCTCTTGGAATACAAGAGAAATTATAATGGTTTCCTATACAAGAAAATAAACTTTGTATTTGAACATATAATTTGGAAATATTCTTTCTTATAATGAATTTATCTTTAAAAAATATTTCAAGGTTTATTTTAACGCTAGATGGCCAATTTTTGGGATTAGTTTGGAGATATTTATCGACAAACAATTAATAACTAATTTAATACAAAAATAATGTAAAACATTACTTGCTAAGCCTTTTAACAATGCCACAAGATAATACAAGTTCACTATTTCAGACTATTCAATCATTTTAATGCCAGTCCCTCTTAGATCAGTTACTTTGTTAAAGTATCAATAATATAAGTGACTGACAATAAAGGCTTAACCTTATATCGAATACTAATTACCTTCTGGTTTGTTTTAAGTTGAGAAAACTTTTTAATACTCGAGATCACAATTTGTTTTCGGCCGCCCAGTGTTTTAAAACCGAATTTTTCATCAAATCATATGATGTTTAGCTTTGCAACTTGATTGTTATTTGATTTTTGGAGGGAAAAAAATTAATTTAACGTCTACCAAACCACATTCTTATGAAAGAATCTCATGGCACAAAGATGTCAACTGTAAAAACTGTTTTAAGTTTCTAACATGAGTGAGTGCTTCATTTAATGTGTTTGTAAGATCTATTTGAAACAGTGGGATTAGTTTCTATGATAGAAAAAAAAATACCTTTAACATTTGGTTTCGCTGTATCCTTTCGGATTTTTACACTCACTTTAAGTTATAATTGCACAAAGCTTTAAGCCATCCTCAGAAAAAAATATAATAAATACTATTGACAAGTGTTACAGTTATTTTACCAAGTATTAAACCAAGCTTATTTATAAGGATGGTAGGAAATAACCGACAGATTTTATCGTTCAGTGCATTCGAAATTTCAATTGTTCCTCCCGGACTCTCAATGTGCACTCTTTAAAGTAAATTATTAACTTAAATAAAGTCCTTAATGCGCCAATTTTAGGGCATTGACATGAATAATATTCCGTATTTTATTTATTTATAATAATATTCTGTATTTTATTTATAATAATATTCTGTATTTTATTTATTTATAATAATATTCTGTATTTTATTTATTTATAATAATATTCCGTATTTTATTTATTTATAATAATATTCTGTATTTTATTTATTTATAATAATATTCTGTATTTTATTTATTTATAATAATATTCTGTATTTTATTTATAATAATATCTGTTTTTTATTTTATTTCGAAGTTCCATTTTTTCGCACTCTCCCGATGGCTCATTCGTAAGTCTGAGAGCTTATAACGCCAAAAATCAAGTTTTGGTAGCCTATTGTTTAGCTTTGTGCTTAAAAATGAACAAACAAATAATTTTATTAACACATAAACTTAAGTGACAAACTGTTCAATTTAACTTACATTAACTTACATTCTACACTAAGGTAAGAAGACGCCTTTTCCGGCGTACCAATTCCATTAAACACTTCGCAGGTGTAAAGTCCCGAATCCTCTGCTGATGTAGGGTTAATAAATAGCGTCCCATCCCTCTTGACAACCGTTCGGGTTACCAGCCAGTTCAGTTCAAAGATTTCTTTGTCATTTAATAACCAACGATGAGTAAGGTTTGCTGGCAGTGCTTTTGCTTCACAGATGAATTCCGCTTTATCCCCTTCTAGCGTTGTAATATTACGGGGTGGCACAGTGATAACCGCTGGACCTAAAGAAACAAAGAAAAGAAAAAATGGAAATGCGACGATAACGTTGGATTTCGGACCGTAAATGACAGAAGGACTTTAGAATTAGGAAGTAGTTTAGAATATTCGGCTTCGATTAAATAGAATAGCACAGAACAAAACGAAGATGAGAAATAAAATATACACAGAGGTTCAGGACACTTATAAATGGGGAAAACTGGATGCCATAACGTTGACAAAGAAATAAGAGTAAAAACCTTTCTTCGTCTATTTGAAGCGCAAAGCTACACAATCGCAGGGATCAAACCCTGAACTTTAGTGTTATAAGCTCTCAAACTGAGCTACCGGAGAGCGAGAGTAAAATCAGTCATGACATAAAAAAGAGCTGAATTTGAAAATTGAGAATGAAGAGCCATGTCATGTGTTACTTAGAGCGGAAGATCACGAACAAACGAAATTATAGCAGAAACAAATGTCTCGATTAACAGAGAAGACAAGCAGAGCATGTTGCTAGAAATAGTAGAACTTACTGAATGTGAATCAGGAGAGGATTTCGCAGACAGGTGACTAATATTGCTATCGGTTTATTAGTTTAGAAAACATCATTATATAGAGAATTACGCTAATGGATGCTGACACCCTAATTCTTCTCTTGACTCGCTGGTATTAAAAAATATGTGCATCTAACGTGTCTTTGTCCCCGATAAGTATCTCAGTAAATTACTTAACGCGAGGTGGGTTACCATGGTTGACTAGAAGTCAAAACTGACCACCAACAAATACAGAAAATGCGACGTTTGAAGAAATAAACATGAGTATTTTGCAAGCGTCTGAAGGTGTACGAAGCTAAAAATCGGGTTTCGATACCTGTGGTGAGCAGGACACAGATAACCCATTGTGTAGCTTTATGCTTAACAGCAACCATACCAAACCTAAGCCTAAAATACCTAATGATAGACGCAAGAAATCATTATTAATAAAGTAGTCAACATGATAATATATACCTACAACATATGGTAATCACTGATAATGTACTTTAGATGTTAAGTTATGGGAGGAATAACAAAGGAAAAGATGCGTAGACAACATAAGTAAGCCACTATTTACTGAATAGTCCAAGAAGTCCACATTAACGTTGAAAACTGTTCGATGCTATTGAAAAACGAATATAAGAAGCCGTTTGATTCCAAAATATATTTTTACACACCTATGGCGTATCTTATGATTTTTCAGCCTACGAAGTTTTTTTTTTTTTTCAAATACTTTTGTTTATTTACGTCACGAGAGAACGTGACGCAAAAATCAATGAACTTTATATCATGAATACGAAAATGTCGAACCGTGTTATTACGGGATACAGTTCCTTCCGCTGAATGTAATTTCGTAAGAAAGGCACTATTAGCGGAAGTTGTATTAAATATCCTTTAACGCTGGTAATGTTCAATATACAAGAGTGCCTCTGTTTGTTGAAACTGTTAATGTTCCAAAATGTAAATATAATACCTTTTGATTCAATGAAAGTAATATATGTTTATGTGTTTGTGAATTAAATTGTACGTTTTTTTTATGTTCTACATGAGAGAATATTGCATTTCACATTATTTCAATACATAAAATAAGAAAAAAAAAATGTTTCGTCTCTAATTAGAGCCAGAAGTCGGTCACTGCTGCGATATTATGAGAGAACCGAGTTTCGCTCTAAGCCTTTTAAATCAATAATATAACCAATCACACCACCTCTCTCCGTTGATTAGTGCTGTGATAAATATCTGGATTTCGTAGCTGGCGAGCTTCGTTCCATCCGTGAGATATTAAAATATATTCCCCCCCCCCTCAATGTGGGTGCGTTATAAGAGTGGCAGTCAACCCCTTAGCGTGGATGGTGGGCGGTAGAGTGCTGGGAACTGGCTGTCTTCCCTTTGCTCACTAGTGCAAAATTAGTTGAGGTGGCAAATAATAGCCTTAGCAAATTTGCCCTAAATACAAAATGCGGGTGCAAATGCTTTTCTAATGCAGTTGCAAATTCGCCAAAGAATTAACTGTCGAGTTCATTAACTTTCATTTAGACAGAGTATAAATTTGTGGATCTATTCCGGCACATTAAAGTTTCGGTTACGACTAAATTCCTAGTTAACCCTAACTTCCGAATGGAATTTCCTGACTAGTAAAGATACAAACTTGATATTTTATTACGCCATAGTTAAATAACAAACAAAGAAGACAGCCATAAAATTGTACACATAGAACGGAGCAGAATTTAAACTTTTGGATAGAATTGACCAAGTAATATAATGAAGCATTTTGTTTTCATTTTGTTATATACAGTCAAAGAGTTATGGATAACGTAAGCAACAGCATACTACTAATACAAGAGTTAACTGAGCGATCCACAATGCAGAAAGATGCATTTTTGTGGTCAAAATAAAATATTCAGTATTCATCCATTTTATAACAGTAATTAACCATTTCACAGTTTCATATAGTATGGACTATATATATTAATATATCATTGAAAAATATTCTCATTTAAAATTAAACTACGAAACACAATAGAAATAGTCTCTAAAACTCACCCAATTCAATGAAAAAACAACACATTATTTTGTGTTCCTTACCAGCAACTATAACCTTCGTCTTGGCTGCAATACTTCCTTCGCTGTTGCGTGCCCTACACACATAGTCTCCAATATGTGTTCGTTCCACTTTAGCTATTTCTAAGGTTCCTCGGTTGATTCTTACTGTGAGACCTTCGGTCACGGGTACGTTGTCCTGAAATATGGGAATATAATTTAAAGCAACTTTGCTGGATTAACTTATTTGAATGTTTTCAAGAACGTATCCAGGTTTTGTTAACTTCTATTCTATGTAATATGGATATACTATCAGTTGAGTGAATGTTATATCCTGTGTAATCTCTATGTGGCTTTAGGAAAACAAAAACAACCTGACAGATATAAGATACCATGGTGTGCCATAACGAGACTTTTATTCCGACAATTAACGGAAAATTATGACTATACCATATCATGATCCAAACAACCTTGGGTAAGTCTTTGGATCCATGGAGTAGTCCGTACAGAAAGTAGTCTATATATGATACATGAATCTAATGTTATAATAACGGATTGTTTTATTATATATATATATATATATACGGTGTACTCAGCACTCAAGAGGTGAAATAATTTATACTTAAACAAGGTTTGTGAATTTTATTATTTGTTTGCAATTCGAAACGCACGACACTTATGGTTTATGTATTCATGAGAAGATGAAACCAGGATAATAATTTAATGATCTATAAGCGTTCAAAATGTGTTGGCATAAAGATATTAGTGTTATTGGTCCTAATATTAGGGAGACATATTTAGTGGGTTGATTTTCAAACAAAGCTCTCCTTTCTTAAAAGCGCTCGACTCGCAATCTGAGGGTCGCGGGTTCGAATCCCCGTCACACCAAACATGCTCGCCCTTTCAGCCGTGTGGGCGTTATAATGTGACGGACAATCTCACTATTCGTTGGTAAAAAAGTAGCCCAAGAGTTGGCGGTGGGTGGTGATGACTAGCTGCCTTCCCTCTAGTCTTACACTGCTAAATTAGGGACGGCTAGCGCAGATAGCCCTCGTGTAGCTTTGCGCGAACTTCAAAAACAAACAAACCTTTCTTAAAATTCTGAATAGATTTAACCTCCTTGCGATATCTAGAATTTGAATTGGCCACCAGCGTGGTAGAATTCACGCTATGAAGGAGAAAAACCCATACCTCCATCCAAAATTACTCATTACACAAAGATGATGCACATGTTGCTCAATATAAGCTTCTTTTCAGCTCTATAAAGCTGTTTTCTCAGTCGTTTTCCCAATTTCTGTCGTTAGAGATGGCCGAGAAAACCTTAAAAAAGCTTTCCGAATATCGGAATGCATTTATGTTTGTGGTTCTAGTTTGAATACTGGAAATTATGACACCCTTCTGTATACCACCCAATCCCCCGAATTCGATCTGATCGAGGCACAGACAGGATATTAAAGTTGCTTTAAAAAATAAGAAGCGGTACGAAAAATGCACCATGACAGACCTAAAACTGTCACATCTATCAATTCAACCCTGTGTTAGAGCAGCTAGAACCGCCTTCACGTATCCATGTTGTGTTTATTCCACATGTGAAGACTTAACAAAATCCTCCAGTAAACACAGTAAAGTGTGTATCATGCACTTAAACCTCTCAATATCATACAGTTTATAAACCCTCACTGGGTAGGTTTACAGGTTTAGTATAGTGCAAAGCTACTCAATGGGCTACCTGCGCTCTGCCCACCGAGGAGAATGAAGCGTTAGATTTTAGAACTCAACCACCGCTAACCCATAGGGGGACACCCTCTCACAATGGGGCTAAAATAGCAAGAAATATGAAAGATGAACAAAGCCAAATATTATTGTCAAATACAACTGAGTTAAACTCATAAAAGTAGAGAAAATTTGACGCCATGTCAAATTTCTTTGTAACATTATCATTGAACCAGAAAAGATGTTTGACATATCGTTATTCTTATCAAGAACAGACAGACGTGTTTTCTATTATTAAATTTCATGGAATTAAGTATAGAAATTCAAAGTTTTTGAAAATGTAACTAAAGTCTATATAACGGATAGTGCCAGATTAATATCTGCTACTTTTATTACCAAGTTGAATTACTGCGTAGTTGTGAAACGCTTCATGCAACTCTTGACTGAATTACAAAATGACGTAATCGTACATTTTATGCTATTTTTTATCATTACTTCGAAAATATTAATAAACGAAACTATTAATATAAATTTCATCTAATAATCTGAATTTTAACTTCTTTTTTTATTAGATATTCATATCTGATTAGAAAAAGAATAAAAAGAAACACAACGTTAAAGCAGAATATTTCTCACGACCAAAGTAGATCAATGGAAATTTTTTAGACTTCCGTACACTGGTTAGTTTTATCAGAAAAAAAACGTTCAACTACAACAAGGCTCGCAATGTATGATCGCAACGAAACCAAATAAGACTTTGTGAAAAAATGTTAAGCAAACTATACAGTAATATAGAGAAAAAGATCACTATTTCCCCAAAAAGTAAAACTTCAAAAGTATTATATAATATATTTTCAGTATTTCAAAAGTTTAGATAATTTTTTTCCATTATGCTTTTAAAGATGTATGGTGAAATTCATTTAAAATTATTTTGCCCTATGCACTTGTAAAGGTTGATTATTTATGTATTTACATGTTTGTTACAGTTATTCAAACCTGACACCAGGTGTTTAGGCAACGTAGTTCTGAAATAACGTTCCACATAAGTAGATAATAAATATAATGTTATAATGAAGGAGTTTTTAAGTGAAGAAATACATTTATATACATTGTGACATAGAATGATAACATAAATATTTTACAGGTTGATATATAAAAGAAGGTATGACGTGTTTTACTAGAAATTAAAAGTAACCGACATTTTAAACCACACTAAAAACACATACAAGAGAGTCACTGACATTTTAATCCAAACTAAAAACACACATAGAGTTATTGGTATTTTAAACCACACAAAAACATATGTAGATAGTCATTGACCTTTTGAAACACACTAACAAATATAAACAAATAGTCAATGACATTTTAAATCAGATATACATTATACCCAAACACATAAATGATCATTTATAGTGAAAAGTGACCTATACTTTTATGAGTATATTATGGGTTTTTTTGAGGGGGTGTATTCCTTTTGAGGGGTGTATTTTTGAGGGGGTGTATTTGAGGGGTGTATTTGAGTGGGTGTATTTGAGGGGGTGTATTCCTTTTTTTTGAGGGGGTGTATGAGTATATTATGATTTCTTCATTAATTATATCCGATAGAAAGTATGTAGCCTAGTTATTACTAGAAATGTCTAAACATAAGATAAGTTAATCCCAGTCAAGGCTGTGTTCAGGATCACAACATAATCCGAGATGTCATGTAAAATGTGCATTCAAACATCAGCATGTTTGGTAAATATTTCTCATACTACATCGTGACACTAAAGTAAGAGTCTATTAAATAGTCTTACCTTGTACCAGCGAATAAGAGGGTCGGGTGTTCCATCAGCGTCACATGGAAGAGATAATTTTTCGCCTATCCTCACATGAACAACTTCGTGTGGTTTGATACGAAAATGTGGTGGTGCTGGAGAAATTCACAGAAATTATTCTATTACGCTTATTTAGTCCTTAGAAAAACAATGCTATCATTAATTGATTTTATATACACAGTTTCACTGTGATTTAGGCATAACGATCTCAAATAAGTATATACGTCGATACTTCCATTATAAATGAAATTTTTCATAGATATAAACGGACAAATCACTTCATAAGTTAGGAACAGCATACAGCCCTTCTGTGGCTTTACGCATAAATTCTAAAACAATAAATGCTTCATTAACTCCAGCTTATTTCTATTTGAACTTTACTTTTCTTCCCAAGTTTCTGTAGACTTGTAAACTGTGACTTATAACTGTATATGATTTCTTAACATAAAGCTATCAAAATAATATATAACTATATGATTTATTATACATTAGCCCCAGATGGGTGTCTTTTAATGACATCTAGGCTGTGCTGGATTATCTTGGATATTGTTTTAATAAGGTTTTTTTTATTAACTTTTATATTATTTTACATTTCTATATATTGGTAAGACATAACATAGATGATGATTAGAAGATACAGAGATGTGTTAAATTTCTAATTTTACCGCCGAATATTTCTCATTTCAATTCAGACAAACTGTAATT